GTCTGGAATTTCTAGGAATGCGGAGCAGATTCCTGCCAAAGCGCAAGAAGAAGCCTATTCAAGAACTCGTGAGAACTTTAGCGGATGGTCACGAGAACTTCAGCGGCGTCGGCGGGAGTGTTTATCTTCCAAAACAACAATGGCGCATCTGCAAGATATCATGGAGATGGATCTAGAGTTGCTAGAAATCGAAGAGGATATATTTATTTATATAATTTGTCTGAGGCATCGTACAAGTGGTTGTTTTATTTAACTGAGAAAGAAATGGCTCTTTGGATTGTAAAGGTTGTTTAGCTCTTGTGATGGAATGGCCTAGTCAAAGTCCAGGCTTAAAGCTGAATAAAAATCTGTGACAAGACTTTAAAAAATCCGATATTTAGGGTTTTCCTACATTTTTCCCAACATCTTACCAAGCAAAACGAGTATTTCAGGGAAATAGAAGCAGAGAGTTTTTGTGTTGCATGCAGGAAGTGTTTATATTTATAGCCGTTGCCATGACAGCAAAGGTTTAGGTAGGTGCAGCTTTTCCTCACCAGCTTTTGAATCCAGTGGGCCTCAGGTTCAGGTGCTTCTCCAGCTCCTCGTGGTTCTTACAGGCCTCCATGTTCAGGTACTTGAAGATGTGGTATTTGCCCTTGGAGCAGATTTGTGCGGGTGGCATTTGCAAAGGGTTGCTGTCCAGGGAGATGGTCTGCAGATGCCGCAGGTGGCGGTAACACAGAGGCACGTGGGAGATTCTGTTGCAGGACACGTCGAGCCGAACGAGAGGAAGCTCGGATATTTCTAGGTGCAGAAGGAAAACATGGTGGGATGAGCCGGAGCTGCAGCTTCATTCACAGAGCTTTACTGTAAATCATTCTCTGCATTAAGCCTCCATCAACGATGAGAAGATCAATAGCAATTAGTGGAGCAATAATGTTCAGCTCCTGCAGAGGAAATCTAAATGCATTCTGGAGGGACAGATTTTACTGCAGCCTGATATCGGAGGAAAAACCAGTTCCCAGGGGTCACATGTGAGCGACCTGGATCTCTCCGTACCTTCAGGCAGAGTGGTGAGCTGGTTCCTCCTCAGGTTTAAGTCCCTCAGACTCTCCAGCTGACCCAGTTCTGGTGGTAAACTCTGCAGCTCGTTGCAGCTGACGTCCTGACGGTGAAAAGCAAACCTTGTTTTTCAGACCAAAACATTTATTGATTTATTTTTTATATGTAAATGGGCCATATAGTGATGGTTAAAAGTATAATGTTCTCGCCTCAAATGATCTTAAAACAAACTTTTACTGAACAACATAAAGGAGAACTTTTAACTGAACACTCATTCAGACTGGAAACCATTTTCAGCCCTGGCATTTTTTCCATCTACCCACCGCCGAAGCCCAGCAGTGTGTCAGCATTCACTGCCAGACTAGGTGGCACATGACCAAATGAGCTAATTTCATTGGCTAGAAGCTGCTCGACTATCGGGTCTGGATTGAATTTTTTGCAGCTGAATTTTTTGCAGCTGAATTTTTTTGCAGCTGAATTTTTTGCAGCTGAATTTTTTTGCAGCTGAATTTTTTGCAGCTGATTTTTTTTGCAGCTGAATTTTTTTTTGCAGCTGAATTTTTTTTTGCAGCTGTGTTTTTTGCAGCTGAATTTATTTGCAGCTGAATTTATTTGCAGCTGAATTTATTTGCAGCTG